ATATTGAATTTAACATAAAAAATCGTGTTCCCATACGATATATTACTTTTTTTTAGATTAGTTGTTAAAGCGCCCTTCAGACGATCACACTTTACGTACGACAAGTCTAATGAAAAATTAAAATGAAATTCCATCCGTATGACAAAAAAGAGAATAAGAGTAGTATGATTTATATTTTTTGTGTTTACACGATTGGTATAAAACAATAACAAAGTAAGATGGAAACAGCTGCTTCACTTTTTTTGTATGTTTTACATAAAAATACATCCCTGATCTAATGCGACTTGCTTGTTTTTTGAATCATTTCAAAAAATGAAGAGAGCCATACTACTGTCAAATTTTCCATCCGTATTCTCTCTCAATGTGTGATGATTTCGTTTAGATGATCCCATCCGTTCTCTTCTACTCAAAATTTTGACAGATCATATTACTTGTGTGCTCGTGTGAAGGGGGCTTAAATCAATTATTTTTTCTAATATTTTAATTTCAATTATTTCAATAAAAACTATAAAATTTAATTTCTTCTAGAAGGAGAGAATACTCTTCTTCTTCTTCGGCATCAGTTCTTCCCGACTGGTGACAAGAATTCTTATACTTCCGCAACATCGCTGGCGAGCTTTTAGCACGTTTCACACGGGTAACTTCCGCAATAGAAAATGTTTGTAGGGTTGTTATACTTTGGTTTAGGCCTTATGCTAGTGTATAGGTTGGGTTAAAATCTACAGACTACAGTACAATATAATATAATAAATACACGATTATAATAAAAAAATTTTGAAAAATGTATCTTTATATTTTTATCATGTTATAAACCGATTTTGTATTTGAGTCACTCATGTATGTACATATGTATGTATGCAAGTATATTGTTCATATTATGTATATTATAAGCTGTAGTCACAAATCATAATATAAAAATAACAAGATGGAATCTTTAATAAAGGTACGTTCTCAATTTTACATGCACAAAAACGAATCCAAACTTTCATTTGTTAGTTGGCTTTTTACCTAACTTTTCCAATTTGCTTTTAAATTTTGACAAATTTCCACAACACAAAGTTTTACTTTTTAAATTGATCTACTGCATTTCTAGAGATCCAGTACCAGTTCCAAATGGTACAATGAGAACATATAAATAAAAGCAAGGAAATGAGCGAAAAGCTAATTGGTTTGTTTTCGTTCTTTTTCATTAAAAAATAATTTGTCTTTGATTTTGTCATGAACAATTAAACAAAGTTCATAAGTTGTGTATATTGTAGAAACGTTATGTTAGTTTTAACAAAGACTGCTCGTTATTCGATTCAGAGATTTTAAAATATATAAATATTTTTTTATAAAATAAAAGTGTGTATGAAACTCCACATCCAAAGAGCCGCATTTGGCTCGCGAGCCGTAGTTTGCGACCCCTGGTCTATTCTAAAGTTTAGGCCTTATGCTAGTGTATAGCTTGGGTTAAAGTCTACAGACTACAGTACAATATAATATAATAAATACATGATTGTAATAAAAATATTTTGAAAAATGTATCTTCTTATTCTTATCATGTTATAAACCGATTTTGTGTTTGAGTCACTCATGTATGTACATACATATGTATGCAAGTAGTCACAAATCATAATATAAAATAACAAAATGGAATATTTAATAAAGGTACGTTCTCAATTTTACATGCACAAAAATATGTACAGTGTCTCACATAAGTATTCGAATTTGGTTGTACTTTGAAAAGAAACATAATTTAATAATATTTTTTGTGTGTGAAATGAATAATTAAATTTGTTATATTGTCTAGAGAGTCCTAAGGTATAATATCACATCGAGTGGTTTTTGCTTAAAATTGTGTTAAGGGGTTACTATCGACCGAAATTATACATTTTTGGCCCATTTGTTCCACAATTTTGGAGCATTTGTACCATCTTTTCATGTAATATCATTAAAATGGCGATTTTTGACCACATTTGCAATTTTTTCCTTTTTTTCAGAAATAAACCCAAACTTTAATATTGGGATTTAATAGACCCCTTGAGGCATCTAAAAATAATAATTTTTGTTATAAGGATCTGTACTTAAAAGTTCCAAGATGTATTCTTGGTATCGTTCTTATGTTTCTAATTGAATTGTATGGATCTTAAGTCCCTTTTCGTACCACTAGGGTTGATATTTTCCGACAAAGTTGGCTAGTATACATTCATGTACATATTACCACTAATATATTTTAAATTTTCAATACATTATATCGGTATACAATTCCAAAACATGTCTTTACAAAACGTCATCCTATACAGTAGATTTCAGTTTTTACTATTCGTAACTTTCACGCTTATGTTGCCCATTACAATAACACTGTAAATCCAAAATTTTGGGTTTATTTTGATCATAGTAATCAATATTTAAACAGATATCGATATTTTTGAATTAGACCATAATGATATAGTGGCATGCAGCCTGGAGGTCATTGGTATATAAAAATAATGATACTACCATATTGAATGGTGTTTCTTCGAGGCATGTTTTGGAGTTGTACACTTCCACAATACATTGAAAACTTAAAATATATAAAAGCTGATATCTAAAAGAATATATACAAGAAAACTTTCCCCGAAAATTTTTGACCCTAGTATTATGAAAATGGACTTAAGTTTCAATATATTGAATTAGCGAGAGAATAATGATATCAATAATAAATCTTGAATCGTTTAAATACAGATTCTTGTAACAAAAAATACTATTTTTAGATACTCCAAGGGGTCTATTAAATCCCAATATCAAATTTTGGTTTTATCTCTGGAAAAAAAGAGAAAATACTACAAATATTGCCAAAAATCGCCTCTTTAATGATATTAAATAAAAAGAGGGTACAAATCCCCAAAAATTGTGGACCAAATGGGCCAAAAATATATCATTTCGGTTGATAGTAACCCCTTAAAACAATTTAAAGCATAAAAACCATTCGATTCTAAAATTTGTGTTTCGTATAATATGCTCAAATATGAAATACAGTAAAAATTCGTATACTTTTGTGAGGCAATGTTATGGACTTTTTTAAAAAAAGCTAATTTAATTTAAGTAAATGTAAATTTTTCAAGTTTTAAAAAGCGTGATCTCAAACGTAAGGACTCTCTAGACAATATAACAAATTCATTTATTTTTTTTTTGCACACAAAATATATTTATTTATTAAAAACAATTATGATAATTATTATTCACTACTTTTTTCCGGGTTATTTTGGTTACTTGAGTTCTTATTTAAGGTGTAGTAGTACACAGATAATTTCAATATGTATTTGGCTTAATGATATTAACAAAATTCATGAAAATTTTACCTGTTTGAATGTAATTATTTTATAATAAAATATTCTGTACACTATAACATGGAAAAAATTCACTTTTTGTTCCGAAAAATTGAAATTTTTGATAATTGATTTGAATAATATTTATAAGAGCATTTTTTCCTATTTAAGAACATCTGGCTATTTAAACCCCCGGAGTTTTGGATCGGGTATTTAATAATATCCCTCATTATGATGCATTGGAAGACGATATTTTAACTTTTAAATTAATTGTTTCTTTACAATAATTGCAATCCATTGCGGAACATGGCCGTTTTTAACATATTATAGCATTCATATTCGATATTTAACGGCGATTTCCTAAATTTATGTCTTAAAATGCGATATTAATAATATTTGTACTAGTTTTCATTAATTAAAACGAGTTTTTTGTTTCCAATCACCCATTACACACTCCTAAATACTACCAATAATCGTCAAATGGTGACCATGTCAATAACTTACACTACATATCGGTTCTGAAATTGATTATTGTCCAAAATAGTAAGATTTTTATATTATATCAGGCTCAATTGGTGGTATGAATACGAATTGTACAATTTTGAACACGGATACATCTTATTTTGTTGCTAGAACAAATAAAATGTCCGATCCATAAAACATGGTTATTGTATCGAGTATATCAAGATATGATTGGTAGCATTATTGTATGCTTTGGAAATCGGAGTATTTGGAAAACCTGTTTATATTAAAGGAAATATATAGAATTATCCAAATTTTAAAGTTTATGTTGTAAGTCTTAAGAAATCCGAGTTAAATTTCGGTTTTTTAAAAACGTACTGTGTTCAAAATGGCCAAATCCATGCATATAACATTAATTTCGAAATAACAACTCTTTTCAAAATTTAAAAATTCTATTTCCAATGCATCATTTGGAGGATTCAATGACCACCAGATCCAAAACCCGAGGTCTAAAGTGGAAAAAATCATAGAAATGAGAAAAAACTGTTCTACTAATTAATTCCGGAGCCAATCGGCCCAAATTTCAAGATTTCGGAACTAAAAGTAGTTTTTTTCCAAGTTATTGTGTAAAAAATATTTTATTAAAAAGTAATTATATTAATACAAGTAACATTTTCATAAATTTTGTTAATATCATTAAACCAAATATATACTGAAATGATCTGTATACTTACTTTTGTGACGTAAATTTTGCACCTTTTTAACTTCAGCATAAATGAGAACTCAAAGAACCAAAATATGAAGAAAAAAAGTAGTGAATAATAATTATCATAATTGTTTTTAATAATTAAATGTGTTACTTTTTTGTTTTTTGGAAAAATAATATCTTTTTTTAAATAAAACCAATCGTCAGTATTTCTGTATACTTACTTTTGTGATTAACTGTATGTACATATATAACAAAACAATGAGTTTTATTAAAAAATGTTTGAAAAAAAAAAACTAAAATTGAATTTTAATAAAAAAAGGCCGCAAGTCATTGTCATTCATGAACATTTCATAGCATTTTTAGGTTTTCATTTGGATACTCTGAAGTTTTTTCTTTTTTCACTTTTTTTTTGTTTGACTAACAAGGGAGAAAAATGACAAATCTCCCTACGGCTTCACCTGATTATGATTATTGCTTTAGATACAAAACAAATGTATCGAAAGTGTTGTTTTCATGGTATATTTTAATAAAACACTTACCATTTTAATTTCAGTTCTTGTCCAAAAAGTTGCTTGTGAAATTAACAAACGAAAAATGATGTTACTTTTATCTTATGTCTATACTTGACCAATTTTACTCACAACCAGTGTGACCATTTGAGTGTTTTTCAGACGGTTTCGCATTTTTATTTTGTATTAGCTGTAAATTTTCATTTATCAGTTTTTGCTTTTTTCAATTTTAGTATCTAAACAAAAAGAATAATTTTTCCTCACATAGATTGTATTACACGGCTGCGGAGAACATTTTCTTATATTGAGTTTTGGGAACTTAAAACGTAGAAGAAAATCCGCACTTAATAAAAATTTATTTTCAAAATGTAATTAATGGGAATTCTAAGATTATTCTTTGTGTAAATTTAGTTTTTGACGTGCTAAATATTCCCAAGCCTTTAATTTAAAGTAAAATTTTGAATAAAATGAAATGTACTAATGGGGATAAGCTGTTCGCATTTCGCCGGTTGTTTAATTTTTTGAGTGTTTTTTTTTTTCTTACAATCTAGATTTAAAGACGGAAAAAAGTCAACCAGTTGTAGGCATGGAATGCAACAAAAAAAAAATATATAAATATTTTTTTCTTTTTGTTAAAACTTTAATGATTTGTAGTACATAGATTATTTTAATTCCCATTGAGTTTATAAAAAGAACATACTATAAAGTATGCCGGTCGGCTAAGAGTCGGCTGAGAGGGCTGAATTCGTCTCAAAATTTTAAGCCGGCGACATCAGCTAAGCTGATTAAATATTTTTTAATTTTAAATATTTTTAATTTGCCTCTTTTTAATCCAATTCAAAGTCATGATGGAATAATAAGGTGAAGTCAATTCTACAAAAACAACAACAGAAATTCCAATGCCTAAAATGTCTCTACCAAGATATAAAATTAATATACCTTGGTCTCTACATAAAACAAATATGTATATATATTACAACTAAAAATTTTAAAATATGAGTACAACTATTTGTGAATTTGCTACAAATACACCATTTATTATCATGAAAAAGGCATCATAATACAATTTTAATTTATAATACATTAGAAAGGTTTGTTTCTTATTTATACTATAGTATGTATGTAATCAATTACAATTGCCAAAAAGTATACTATTAGACTAAAAATAAAAATACTTTTTTTATAACGTATTATAAATACATATTATTTATGTTATATATTCTTATATAGATTTTACAACAAAATTAAATAAAAAATACTCTTGTTTCATTGCGTGGAAATTTAGTTTTTATTACTACAATTTAAACAGTATTCATTAAAAAGATTATATATAAGATATACATAAATATATAACGTGAATTTTAAATATATAATCAATTACACCCAATTTACACGATGATTTTTTTCATGTTTGCCCAGACGTCTGTTTTCATGTTTGTCGATGATTGGTGGTGAGCGGGGTAGAGAAGAATGGGGGGTAAGAAAACAAACATGATTTGGGATTTTCATGATTGTTTTTGACATTCCTCTTTAAACTCATTCGTACTGTTGATATTATGCTCATGTAAAAAAATAATTATGTCTTTTTTTTACATGAAAACATTAAAATTTGCATTAAAAAAATACTATAGCGTGTAATTAAATTTTTTTAAATCAAATTAAATGGTTTTTATGTTAAAAATTTCATTTTATTTTTATTACGAATAAGTAATTAAAAAGGATTATACAATTAAACATCAAAAAAAGACATACATAGTTGCATGTAAAAAATCACCGTATAAATGTTCATGATTTTTTGGAAGATTCTCAAAAGAGAATTGGAAAAAACAGACGTCTGAAAAGTCTTCATGTAAATTGCGCCTTACTCGTTTAATTATAAATTTAAATTATGTTCGTATTCAGAAATTAATTAATCCCTATTAGGGATCTATAGTTGAAACGAAAAGTCGACTTTTCGACTCTTTTAATTTAGTTAAAAGTCGACTTTTCGATTTTTTGCATTTTATGAAAAGTCGATTTTTCGACTTTTTCATTTAATTAAAAGTCGACTTTTAGACTTTTCGACTATAAGTATTTTATAAATAGTCGACTTTTCGACTTTTTCCGACTTTTTTCGACTTTTTCCTACTCATTACGCAAAACTTTAATCCATTTTTAGCTACTATCCACAATATTATCAATAAATTAAAAATTATTGTACAAGTCGAAACGAATATAAACGACAATGAAGTAGATATTTACAAAATAAGAGGTTTTAACGCTGTTTTTATAAATAGAGAAGGGAAAAGTTCGAATTTTCGAAATTAAATAATGGTTTTAATCTATAGATTATTTTAAAATCGTTTGAAGTTAATTTCGGATATTCGTCAGTCCATTTAGACTACAGGAACTAGTTTTAATAGACTTAAATCATTTGCGAACATAAGTTAGATTTTTCGATATTTTTTTATTTTTTATTAAAGATTTTATCAAAGATTATTTTAAAACCATTAAACATGTTTCGAACTTAATTTCGAATTTTCGAACACAACACTATATTGCTTTTATGATTCAGAGAGTATTTTAAAACCATAAAAAATTTTTCGAACTTTATTTCGAATTTTCGAACTTAACTTCGAATATTCGAACATTGTATTATATGTTCCTCTGGTGTACTCATAACTACCAAATTTCAGCAAATTTGAGCTGCGGGAATGTCGACGTGACTTCGACATACATAACTCCGTGTCTATATTAGACAAATATTTATTATGCTAAACGTCAAATTGTTATCATGATAAAAAATTAGCAGGTATAGACGGAATTTATTAGCGTTAGAACGTCGTTATGACAGTGCTGTCTGAACAATTGTTTAGACAACGTTGTCTTGCTAACAAACGTCATGTTATTGTAAAATTTGTTTAGAATTTTGTTTTGGCAATTAAAATTGATTTTAAACATAAGTTTTAGTGAAATTAGTGTTTATTTACAAAATTTGCATTTAATTTTAATTGTTTTTATAAAATATAGCATTATTTCAATAAAATTATCTGTGAGTTGCCGTGATAAAATCTGCATTTTGTTACCCCTATGCATTAACATAAACAAAAAACTGACAATTTTTCTGCCGACGTTTTGTCAAGTGCCGTGATAAATATTTGTCTAATATAGACACGGGGTAATACGGGTAAAATTATAATGCAAACAAGCAAAGATCGCCAATGTCTTCTGAGGAATCCCAGGGAACCGAAACCTTTTTAGTAACAAGCGATCGATCAGTAATAAAAAAGTTGAAAAACTAATAAATGAAACAAATTGGTGCAATTTAATATGTAATGCGTTAGATGTAAATGATTTGTTCAATATATTCAATAAAAAGTTCAGTGATATATACGAAAAATCTGTGAAAATAGAAAACAAGTAAGAGTGCTATATTCGGCTGTAGCGAATCTTATATACGTGTACTATATAAATCGTTGTTTTTGCTACCACAATTTAATCATTTTGGATTTTTTCTGAACTGATTTACAATATATAAATAGTTATATAAAGGCCAGTCACAGAATTTCATTCCGATCAAAAGTGACATTTTATTTCCTCTTCTTAAAATAGGTAAAATACAACTTTTGCGGAATGAAATTTGTTTAAAGTTATTGTTTTTCAAGTTTTAATTAATTTGTTTACTAAGTAATAATTCTACTTTCGATTGGAATGGAATTCCCAATAGTTTGGGTGATGGTAGTACTTATTTTATAATATTTAATAAATTTTTTTATGGTTTGATTTCCTGTAAATTTACTTATGGTAAATTTTTGACTAATCCTCCTAAGATTTTACAAAGAATTTGGTTTCAATAAAACTTGTTACGTCGAATATCAATACTTTCTAAGCCTTATATAAAGGCTTTGATCCAATATGGCCCGATGCAGTTAGAATTATGTTCATATAAAATTTGTTTATGTCGAATATCATTGTTTTATTATAATTTTGAAGAAGTTGTTTATGTCGAATTTCGTTGCTATATTTATATCCTACACCACTTTAGTGGGGAGGGTATATTGGGTTTGTGCTGATGTTTGTAACGCACAATAATATTGGTCCTATACCAACCTTGAAGTATACCAATCGGCTTAGAATAATTTTCTGAGACGATTTAGCTATGTCCGTCCGTCCGTCATAATTAGGTTTAATATACTCGTATCTCGACAAAAAGCTGCAAAACCAAGTTCTATACTAGACTTGGTGACCCTCATGAATTTTATAATTATAAGGTCTCATTTGACCCTAGCCCCTATACAAAGCCCCCTTCAAAATTTGACTTAAATGTCCACAATTTTATTCAAGAATAAATGGCTTAAGTATATCTGAGGCAAGGTACAGTTCAACTTAAATGCTTTATAATGAAAACTAAATCACATTTTATTTTTGTAACAGGTGTAGGGTATTATATGGTCGCCCTCGCCGTTTAATGCTGAAGCAAGTTATAGTTATAAACATTAAACCTAATTTATAAGGAGGACCTTATATGGGGGGAGGGGGGTTTGTTAGAATCAATTATGGAACGATCCTTTTAATATTTTGCAAAGAGATTTCAGTTTCTATAAAACATTTTTATGTCAATTTCGTTGATATACTGGAATTTTGAAGCAAATTATGAAAGTTAAAGTAATTTTCTGAGAAGAACCTCATACGGAGGTTAGGGTCAATTATGGGACGATCTTCATAAAATTTGGCAGAGAAATTTTAGTTCCTCTAAAACTTATTTATGTTGACTTTCGTTGATTTATTAGGATTTCGAAGAATGTTATGAGCTTCAAAGTAATTTTCTGACGGGAATGGGTCAATTATGGGCCGATCTCCATTAAAAATGGGAACTTGTTTACGTCGAATTTCTTTACTTTGCTATCATTTTCAAGGGTTAAAGTAATTTTCTGAAGGAGAGCTTATATAAAACTTGTTTATGTTGACTTTCGTTGATTTACTGGAATTTTAAAGCAAGATATGCGCTTTAAAGTAATTTTTGACAGGAACCTTTTATGGGGGTAGGGTCAATCATAAAATTAGGTATAGAGATTTATGTTCCTCTAAAACTCTTTTATGTTGACTTTAGTTGATTTACTTGAATTGAATGGGGGTAGGGTCAATTATGGACCGATCATCATAAGATTTGGTACAGAGATTTATGTTCCTTTA